ATTTGAATCGCCAGAGATAATGTTTCGAAATGATAGGGGAATTATGTGTAGGTTGACCCGCACTAATAATTTTAGTCATAACTTTTTATGGAATGAAGATGAACGCACACTTGATATACCATCGGAAAGAGAGCCGAAAAAGCTACAATTTGATCAGGAAATTCATTAGTTTTGGTTGTAAAAACAAAACATTTCGGTCAATTTTCTAAGAGGTCTGATTTTTGGCAGCAAAAGTTTTTCTTTGTAAGTTGGCCCACCCTATTTTTTTTTAGAAAAACATGCAGTATGAACACTCAATATATGAAATTCATTGAATTTCGTTGGATTTTCAATCGTTTTCGGCCTTTACAACTACGAAAAACAATGAAAAAATGTAGAAAAATATAGAGATAGTGAAAAAATACATATTCTCTATTTTTTCATATTTCATCGATTTTTTCGTGTTTTTCAAATCCGAAAACGATTGGAAAATCATTAAAATTCAATGAATCTCGTATATTGAGTGTTTACGCTGAATAGTTGTCACATTTTTCTGATTTTTTTTCGGGTGGGTCAACATACAAAATTGGTCGACATTTCAATATGCACGGAAAGAATTTCGCCATGTGATGATATGTGTGAAATGACTTCGGATTATGAAAATACACGAAAAACTAGTAAAGAAAGCTTATACTCGCTTTGCTGATATCTTTGAAATTGTCTACTTGATGATGGTCCGAAAAAATTTAGTTTTTATAAAAATTATTTTTTTGTTGCAAAATTTTTTTATGAGCCGATCCGAGCCGTTTAAGAAGCGTATTCACTCTTGGGAACTACTTTTATATTGGTTTTTGACGTTTCTAAATCGATTGAGACTAGCCAAATTGACGATTTGTAGGTCAAAATACAAAATCGGCGGGGTGGGTCAACTTACACATACTCCCATAGTAATATCAAAGCAAAAGAGCAGAGATGAACTTATCAAATATTTTATGTGTTCAAATTCCCGACAAAGGGAGCGTACGCGCAAAATAAGTAAAACATAAATGAAGATACGTTTTGTGTGTTTTTTTTATTTGTTTGCAAAGAAAAAAACAAAAAGCGTAATTGCTCTATAAATTGGCCTAGTACTTTGAACGTCACAACAGTGCCATTTATTATTGTTTTCTTGTCATGGAATTTAAGTCAGCAACACACTAGATGCATTTAGAATTTTGGTTTCATTTTGCGTTTTGATATACACGACCTGATCTAGGGGCTTCACGCGATTTTGCAGAACGCAAATAACTCTGAAAAAATAAAAATAATAGTGAATCAAACCTTCAACCGAAAATTTGAACCACTTTTGAAGGTTTTTGGTGGATAACGATGAATATTGGAAAAAAATTTGACGATACAATCTGCACAAATTTACTAGTATGCACGTCAATCTCAAATATCTATGTATATTTAATAATATTCATTAGACTGTAATGTCAAAAATGTTCCAATATTCACCGTTATCTACCAAAATCAATCAAATTTACGGTTGAAGGATTGATTCACTATTATTTTTATTTTTCATACGTATAAACGTAAATTTGGCATATCTATGTATATTCAGTAATATTAATTTGTCGTTCACGATGAATATTGTTGAATATACATTGATATTTCGGATTTACATGCATACCATTAAATTTCTAAGTTATTACTTGATGCGTGCGGATATAAAAGATGAAAAAAATGATTTTTCCCCCTAGACCTGATCATAACGCGATTCGAGAAAATAAAATACTAGCAATATTCAGTGAAAAAAAGGAGATATTCATAAATTTCGGTGGCAGCCGAAAGAGTTTCGGATTGTGTCAAAATGTCGATGAACCGAGAAATGAGACAAAGCCGAAGAGGTTACAGCAATTGTTATTTAGTTTTAAGTTTTTCATTTTCAATTCTCACATCGAGGAAATGAGCTGATTGATTTGCATTTGTTCCTACCGTCGCATCCTCCTCCATTTCCTCATCGTCCTCGTCCTTGAACCGCGAGCGCATCAATCCTGCTCTCTTCAACGTGTTACAAAACCAGAAAAGATGTGTATCCTTCAATGTGTTTAGAAACAAGAAACTTGAATTCTCCAACGTATTTTAAAAAGGAAACAAAAGAAAATAAGAGTGAGACGGAGATGTTTATGAATATTTCACCACCGTTTAAAATGGCAATAAAGTATAATGGCACACTTCAATTTTGCGAAGGTGTTAAATGCTCATCTCATTGTTTTTTTTTAGAAATTATTACCTTCCTCGTCGATATATTCCATTCCAATCGAAATAACAAAGAATCGAAACCAATAAATTCCAATTCCATACTCCATCCCATGTAAAAGTGAGTGTGCATCGAATGCCACACACACACACTCCTCCCAACTCTCATTCCTTGAGTGTATATATTTTTGATTCCAGAGTAATTTCCAGGCAACTTCCCTCAAGATGGCCGTTCGAAATCGTTTTTTCACACTAATTTTACGAAGAAAATCAATACCAACACAACCAGATCCAAGTCAACGCATTGTACTTAATAGCATGACAAAAGCAAACGAGAGATTAGAAAACAATAACAAAACATACAAATTAGATTGAAATTAGTCAAAAGAGTGAAACATACCAAAATTCTTGTGCTAACGCTTTCCATTGTTGATGAAAATACAAATAAATAACAAAAAAAACAATTCTATAAACTAATAATAATTATAATAATTATTTGAAGTGAGCAAAAAAAATTGTAATTTATTTAAACATAAATGTTGTCTTACAGAATAAGTTGAAAAAATGCAAGAGATATTTTTATGGCTGGTGTAGCGGTACATATAGAATATTTATCTTAATAATATGATATATACATATAATTGAAGAAATTTTACCAAACAAAAAATGAAACGCAAAACCATATAATTTATTTGGATATTAGATAAAAAAAACTGGCACCCGCACTCATACGCAATGGGCTAACTCATTTGAATCATTATTATCCAGACATATTTATTGAGATAGAAACAAAACGCTATTGGGATTGTTCTCCCCCCTTCTTTTCCGATTCCATATTTAGATTTAGGCTTTAGAATCTTTATATTTCGAATTATCTCCTCGATATACACAACATACATACATATATATATATATATCATTGGCATTTCGAGTTCCAACAGGAACCTATCAATTTTAATGCAGGCAAAAACAAACAATTTTACAAAACGATTCTTCATCCAATTTGAATTGTCGAAATAAAAAAAATCAAGAATGCAGGTCAAATCAATCAACCACCGCAAAAATTTTACTGGACACCCCGTTTTGATCGGAATCAATACACATTTTTTGACGAACATATCAATACAAATTGCAATATTTTCAGTCAATCGTTCAGTTTTTGAACAAAAACGTCTCCACGGAGAGAAAAAAACGGACTAATTTTCGTTCATAAAAAAGGAAGAAATAAAAATATCATGATCAATTTTCATTGGTTAAACAGAAAAATAACAGTCATTTTGACAAATTTAAAGAAGAACGCTTCGATTGAATTAAGTTGAACTTTTTTTTTCTTCGATAATAAAAAAAAATCCGTAATTTTTAAATTATTCTTATCAAACGACACCCTCTCAAAGTTATTACTCACATTTTCCGAAATTGTTTTTCGATAAAGAAATTTCATTCCAAACAAAAAGAAAAATTGCCATTCAATTGCGTTCAAATTTCTCGCCAGTATATTTTGCTGTAAGAAAAATGTTACTTAGAAATAGTCCTTAATTTTAGTCTTTTACATTTTTACCATGTTTTTTTTTCTAACTCTTTCGTTGAGAATTGTGTTAGGTATTTTTTTGTTGATCAATATTTTTCCGAAAAAATTCCATCATAAAAATTTATTTATTTGATATAATCGAATTGGAATGAACTGCACTTCCAATGCAATGCACTGATTTCATCAAATTATGTTTAGTTAGAGAGTTTGTTCTGTGCAGGAGATAAAAACAAAGTCAAAATGGAACCTAGTCAAATTATGTTTCGATACAAACAAAAAACAACAACAAAAAAACAAATCAATAAAATTAATTGTCTAGATTGATTAAATACAGAAAGAGAACGCATGTTGTTTACCTTAAATTGGGCGTATCGCTAGGTTGCAACAACCGGTGATTATAAATAATATAAACCGCATACATTTTACTGGTAAATAAACAAACGATTGGAAAAAAAAATCAACTAAATCATATATACAATACAGCAAAATGATATCAAGATGAACTAATTCTTCGATAAAATCAAACATACACAAATACAAGAAAACCAAACTGATTTGAACGAGTGAAAAATCGTGAAATAAAAATAAAGATCTAAATTTAGAAACAAAAACCATCTTATTGTTTAGCCAATTATATACACACACATACAATATGCGTTGTAACAAAGAAAAATGAAGATAAAAAACAATACAAATAAAAAAAACATAAATGTAGTAATGAGTCTGTTGTCTAGCTATATTCTACGTAGGGGCAAAAAAAAAATACACACACACAACAACAACACTGTAAATTTGATAAACAGCTGAAGATACATGATATAAAAACAGAGACAAAAAGGAAATTAATGAAAATGAAAACAATACTGAAGTAAATTGAAACATTCAATCAGATCAATAAAAATTCTATTGTATTTAATTTAAATGAAACGTGTTTTTTTTACTTTTAGTTTAAAAAAAAACGAAACGAGTTTTCTATCTTTCAGTTATTTTCCATTTCTTCCTGGCGGAATAGTCTTCCATTAACAGTAACAGCATTAACAAATCGAAATTCAAAATTCCTAACATGATCATAGACGCACTCACCTCGTGCTCACATTGTCAAATATTGCCGTCAAAATGTGGGGCCCGGCGTTTCTTCCTCCTCATTTTCACTTTTGATCTATTTTTCTCTGCCTCCCGCTCTCATCCGGGCAGATGGTACTATTTGCTGTAAGTGATCAACAACAATGAGTAACAACAAACAATGGAATCATTTACTTTTCAAAATTATTTTTTTTATTACAGACATTTTTCGGGAATATATTACCGCCGTGGATCAGCCCTTGAAATTCATCCCGCTCCAAACAGAACCATTATAATGGTTAACATAATTATTTCGGTCACATTGAAATTCAAATTCTCGTCGATGTGTGAATTTTAACGGCTAATCAAACGATCGGCAAATTATTATAGATTTCTCGATTTTAACTGTATACAACAACAAAAAAAAGATTATGTTTCATTCAGAGATTATAAAGTTGAAAAAAAGGATATTTTTTTATCGTTGATATCACCAAAAATTCACATTTCAGTTTCATCAGTTTCCGATTAGTTTGGAATTAAGGCATTGAACTTAATCGACATACATGTCTTAAACAACTAATGTTTATATTATTCCGTTCTCCTTAATAATTTGAGAGTATGAAAAATAGATTAGGTGGTCGTCATTCGTACGACATTTTATACTTATAAAAGTAAAACTGGCAAATCTTCATTCTTACACATGTATCCGAAAATAATTTTTGTCGACCAAAAAAAAGAGGACCGATTGTGCGGCGCCAAAATAATTGGTGCATTACATATCTGAATTGGTCGTATGCGAATATATAAATTGCTTACAAACTTAATATTCGTCTTTAGTTTCTTTTCGTTTTCGTTTTCGTCATATTTCGACCTGGATGGAGGCCTCTGGTTTTCCAAATGAAAACATTTACAACAAAGTTGTATAATTGACATTTGATTATAATGTTTTGCTTTTTTTCATTGTGTTTAAAACCAATTTAACGACGGGATATGATGATTTGTGGGTTTGTGTGTTGGTTTTATTTCCCTTTCGTTGAACACGTTTATGACTATGAATAATATTCTTGCTTTTGTTTTGTATTTCGCTTGAACTTTCGGACATTGATTTGAAAAAGATTGCTTCGTTCCAGTTTTGTTCCTCCTTCGATTATCGCCGTCAGAAAGAAAAATCGATTTTTTCCTTCGCAATGAAAATCAGATTGATTTTCCGTGTGTTTTATTTGATTCATTTCGTCGAAAAATTAAATTTATCCGATTCGGTTGCCGTACACCCGTTTCAATTCCGCAAAAAATTGATTTTGCTGTGGTTTTGGTAGAATTTTCTCAAACAATGCCAATGTTTCATTGGTCGGTTGAATATCTTTCAAATGATTGAGCATTTGCAACCAGACATTGTCTTTTAGCAATGATTGTTGCACTTCTTGTTTTCGTTTCATCGTTAAATTATCATATTGGAGCCGCTGTTGTTCAAGGGTTAAAATCAATTCGGCATAATCTTTACCCACGCGCGATAGTGATACCGAAATTGAAATATTTGCATCGTCACTAAGCTGGGACGGCGCGGGTGCTAGTGGACGTAACGGTGTGGTCTTGGTACGTGGACGTTGTTTTGTTGATGTGACTTGATTGTTGTTTAAATGATTCTCCGTCGAATTGGGACTGTCCATCCGTGGATTTGGACTTGCCTGTGATGGTTGAGCTGCATTCATCGCACCTGTAAATACACATACACCCATAAATCAATGAAAATGAGAAACCATTTGATTTGGAAGCAAAAATAAAAATAAACACAAACACGCATATGAGAAGGATAGGGAAATTACTAAGCAATTACTTGAAAACGATCGAAATATATCCAAAAAGTAGTTGTTAAACCAATCGTCAAATTATTGATCTAAATTATAGAATTCCCATGTGAATAATTAAAATTGGAAAATAGTTCCACGTGCTTTAGTTTTTACTTCAAAACACTTAATAACACTTATTGTTTCTCCTTCAAGCTCCCCCCATACATACATACATAATACATAATAGCCTGTAACCCTTCGAAAACACAATGTTCAACCGTGTTGACTCAACACATACTAAATGAACGTAACATACTAAATGAAATTCAAACGAAAACTGATAAGCAACAATAGCAACAGCTAAACTGGCTTAAAAGCCGAATTTAATCAGGAATGAAAATTTACTTCCTAGGAAATGACGTAATGTGATAAGATGATGACTCAGCAAACACAAACACAACACATAGACAGCAACAGCGTCTAACACTACTAGTTATCAAAAAAATCGTCAAGAGGGCGCCAACAGTTCCCCATTGGAATGTCCATAAGAAAGCGCGCTCTCTACGACAAATTTCGCCATTTTCCAACAAAATGCACGTAACATAACGTTCTATACGCTGTTGATATACAGTTATCAGCTCTAATAAACAACAAAGAGTGTTATTTTTTGTTTTGATTTTTTTCTTTCGATTTCCCAATTGCGATAAATGTACTAACTATAGAATTCTTTAGAAATCACCTTTATGAAAATCACTCGGAGAGAGAAATAGGAAGGAAATGAAATTTTTGTATAACATTCCTTAGACTTAACCAACCAAAACCATTTGCATCTTATAGGGACAGAAATCCTAAATGGGTATGTAATTGAAAGCAAAATTCCGAAAATTTCATTTTTTCGGTGAAAATTTGTTTGTTTTTCGTTCGTGTCTGTTCATGCAAATCAAATAATGAAAGCAATTAGAAGAAGCAAAAGAAGCAGCAGTTGAAGGAGGAAAAGTTAAGGAAACAGATGGATGATTTGGTGAAAGTGAGAAAATGAGTGTGTGAGAGAGGGAATAATGAACCAAAATACGCTTAATTTCGAAGGAATAACAGATGATTGTGTCCTTTTTTTTGAATCGATGAATCGTATGAGTGAATTGATCGAAAGAGAAGCGAAATGAAATGATAGTAATGAAGATATGAAGATGGAACACGGCGGTCTACATACGTGAATTGAGGTCATCGGGGGTTAGAACTTTTAGTGTGGTCGTTGGTAGCTTTGGAGTTTTTGCCTGCGGCTGCGGTTGTGGCTGTGCTGGTGCCGGTGGTACATGATGCACCTTTGTCATGTATGGTAGTGGTAGATATTGTACAGCATTGAGACGCATCTTGTTTGTCGTTTCGGGTGCTTTAGCGGCCGTGCTATTTGTGTACGAATGATCCAAAGCGGTCACTTTTGATAACGCAGAAGGACTGTTGGTTTTTGCCGGTGGATTATTATCACAAACTGATTGGCGACGCATCGACGAGAGGCGACCAGCGGCCGAGTATTCATTCTGTGATGTATGCATCGACATGGCTCGGAGTCGCATTGGCACACGTGCTGGCAAGGATAATAGCTGTGGTAGCATCGGTCCACCAGTAGCATTTGCTACTGGGCTTGCTACTGCTTGACTTGCATTTGGTGGGGCTAGACTTATTGCAATCACTGGTTGTACCACTGGCACTTGTGGTGGATTTAGACGAGTCGGTGTTTTTATGGGAATCGATGAGTTATGTGCTGTCGTTGAACTGTTTTGAATTGGCGATTGTAATGGCGGTTGAACCGTTGGCACATTGGATGAAGCTCGATTCGATCCATTTTCAACCGGTTTCGATTGATTCATTCCGATTTCTGTTTGTTTGGCTGGCGTTGTCTCATTCAAACCGTGCGATTTTCGACCATTTTCATTAGCCAGGCCAATGGTATTTCCCTTACGCTGATTTATATTCTTGATGATTGTGGCCAATTTCTGCTTGGTCAATACATCAGCGATCGGCACCGATTTTATATTATTGTATATCGGCTTGTCCGTTTCGAAATTTCGCAGAGAAAATGGTTTCTCTTTTAGTGTTTCATCGATCCAATTCAATGCAGCCGTTTGATTTCCAGCTATAGTGAACTCTTCACTCACATCACAGCTCGTGTTTTTCGGTTTGCTGGGCGTCTTTTTGGCTTTTGACTTCTTTGTGACGGGCTTATCTAAGGTAGGAAGGAAAAAAGAGAAAAAAAACGTTTTGAAAAATTGGAATTTTGGCCAAGCAAAAACATGACATTTACCATCGTTTCCGTCTTCATTTGCCGCTTTAGCCGCTCCCGGTGCTTTATCCGCTAGAATTTCACCATTTTTATCGGTCAATTTCTGGGTATCTTTCGTTGTGACCTCAGATGCCACCGCTGCTGTTTCGTCTGATTGCGGTTCGGAACGATTTGCGACTTCAGGTCCATCCAAATACCTCTCACGCTGCTTAGACTTTGGTCCTGGTTTCTTTCTGGCAACACTATCAGCAGCCGTCACTGGACGTAGGCTTCTTTGTATTTCGTCAATTTTGCGCGGCGTCAGTCGATCGAGATCAACCTTAACTTTGAGCAAATGTGTCAGATACTCTTTGGGTATTTCGTTGCTCAAAAAAAGACATGATATCATGTGCTTGTGAATGCTATCCGCAATATTGTTATTGTCAATGGTTTCTTTGCATTTGATGCAACGTCCGCGTTTGTGGATTTTTGCATGGAAATTCAGCTCATTTCGGCTGTTGAGTATCGCTGAACAGTTGTCACATTTGAGTGGAGATGATTGTGAAAAGAACTGAGTTATTAATGGTGTTGACGGGCCTTTAGATTTCTTATCACGATTTTTCGGCGTTGATTTATTCGCTGGTCCCAACACGGCCGTTGATTTACCGGGCGTCAATAAAGTTGTCGATGCTGCTGTCGTCGTTTTTGTTGTTGTAGTAGTAGAAGATGGGGTCGATTTGCCCGGCGCGGTTGAATTTTTGCGATTTGATGTGACGGGTGTCGATTTGGCATGATTCGAACTGTGTTTCGATTGTTTTGGTGTCGATTCAATAGGCCGTGTAACTGGCTCCGGAATCGATTTTGATGGCGCTTGTTTCTCTGGCACACCGTCGCTGAAACGTATTCTCTTCGCTTTGTTCGGTGCCGTTTCGTTGACTATTTCCGCTGACGATCGATTTCGATTTGAATCGGTTTCCGACACTCGTTCCGTCATCGCTGACAATCGTCGTTTTGTCGGTTTGGCTGGCTTCGGTGAGCTTATCTGTTCCACCAACATCGTTTGTCGGCGAATTCTTATGCGTGACGCAATCGGTACCGCTTCACCATTGTTGTCATCTGCATGCGACAGCGATGGAACACATCGCTCAATTTCCCATAGGTCATTTCGATCTTTGCTTCGGCTACCACTTCGACCATTACTTCGACGTTCGCGATCCCGTTCTTTTTCCCGATCCAGATCTTTGTCACGCCCACGTTCCGTTTCTTGTTGCTCTCGTACTGGTACCGATACCGTTTCAGCTTCAATAATTTCAGCACTATCTGGACTCGGTGCAGCTTCAGTCATTGTGTCATCCAAATCATCCTCCTCCTCTTCTTCTTCTTGTTTATCAACAGCGTTTACATTTTGTACATTATCCGGCGGTTTCTCTGTAAATAGAATATGTTTGGAGAAGAAAACAATGTACGTCGTTATGTTTACCCATAATAGTAAAAACATTGTTTGACAATAACGAAAAGCAACACAATCTCACCCGTGTCAGGCTGTGGTTCGATTTTCATGTGACTCATCTAAAAAGAAATGTGAGAATTATAAACAAATCATATGAATCATTGAACATTCACAGGCAATAAAAGTCACATTTCAAGATATAAATTCCGCATATATGTATTTGAAAATGAACTGTATATCGAAAGAAATCAAGAGCAAAATAAGAAAAGATAAAGAGAATAAGAGAAAGACACAGACACGGTGTCAATATGAAAAAAACAACAACAAATAAAACAGTGTAAAGCGAGGGATTTGTGATAAGATGACAAACGCACCCTGTATCAATTACCTGCCGAAAATCGGTCAGCCATTTCTTTTTGAAAAATTGAATTTTCATCATTGCATGTGGCCTACGATGATGCAAATGTATCGATAGCAATCCACTGATGTGGAACAACTAGGCGACCGAAATGGATCGCAATCAAAATGTAATAGTCGTTGAAAGCACGAGTACGAGCGAGTATTGTTCATTCAAACCAATTTAATTGAATTATAAGCAACAGCAATAGCAGCAGCAGCAACAGCGTGAGTTAATATGCGGGATGACAAATAATAATATTTTAATTTTATTTCTTCGTTGCGTTTTTTCTTCTTCTTCTTATTATTATTATTATTTTCTCTTCTTTCGTGTGTTTTTACGTTATGGTCGTAAGTCTGGTCTGTCTATTATTTGTTCTATTGTCACTTTTGCAAATTGTGCAAGAGGAGACTGACAGAATGCATGTTCTTTTCGATTTCGTTTGTGTGTGCGTGAGTGTTTTTTTTTGAAAAAAAATTCTTCCGCCGTTGTTTATATTAACTGATATAGTGAACGTTATTTGCATGTACCGAGAGTAAGCTTAGTACGTTTCAATTAAAACCAAAAAAAGAAATCGGAGCTTCAAACGCGCGGCGTTGTGAATTACATTTTTTACTCTGTATTTTAAATATGTGCACAATGTTCTGAGAACTGTCGATCGATTCAGGCGATAGTTAATCGTCAACGTTTTTCCGTTTTTTTCTTATTTCTGTTCTGTGTTTTCTCCTTCTCTCACTTTCGACCATTTTTAAGTTTATGTATGTTTATTACTTCGTATTTGTTACTCGTACTCTTTTCTCTCTGTCTCTCTCTCCCGTTTTTCAAATCCCGAGTGGAAAAAACAACGTTTGCACGATAAAATGATGCCGTGAAAATAAAACACGAGCAACTGACTTTATTCATTTATATATCGCATGTGCAAATGGAAAGATGTGACTTGATGCCGAAATACGCAATTATTGTTTGTTTTGTTTTGTTTAATTTTATTCGTTTTTTTTCTGTGATGACTACTTCTTCTTATTATTTTAATTCGTCGTTGTGTGAACTTTATACTCTTGTTGTTGTGTTGTGTCGTTGTGTGTTTTTGTCTTCTTGTGTCTCTGTTCAACCGAATGGCAAATTTCAATATATATATATATATATATATATATATATGTGTGTATGTGTATCATGTGCGTTCGACCCGACAGAGCAGGGCTTTCCTCTGCTAGTGACTCTGTTTCATCAATCCAAAATTCATAATTATTTTTCAGTGACAGCAGAACACATTGTAATCGGTTTTTGGGTAATTGAAATTATCGATAGGCTTCAACATTCGAACGATGCCTTTGGGTCTCAATCGTCATCAGAACATGTGTTTTACCGTCTTGCATACTTCTGTTCAATGACTTTGATACAAACGTTAATGAAGAAGATGAAGTGAATAAAAATACACACAAATTGTGTCGTTTGGTTCGTTGTTTGTTATCAATACACGATGGATAATCATCGATCGAGTATTTGATCCACTATCGAAGAAAAACTGTACGCAGAACACACATTGCACATTCGGACTTATTTAATATAATTTTATTTCCTTTTTTTTCTTTGCTTTGGTTGGTCGTCTTTGTTTTTCACTTGCACCATTTTAACACACAAACTTTGATCAGCCCGAATGCATACACACTCTCTATATATACACAAATGATCATCGACAGAGAGCGAGCGAGCGAGCGAGCGAGAGAAAATCGCAATGTGGCCGATAGTGTAATTACAATCTCAAAATTTCTACATTAACCGTTCGACTGAAACTGATTCAAAGCGCAGAACCAACGAAAGTAAAGAGAAAAAAAACCGATGACTCAGAAACGGTTGACATGGAATTTTGTGATAATTTCGACAACACTCATCTAGAATTTTTTTTCCCATATATATGTGTACATACCAATATTCAAAGTGTGCCTGGCCGTATGTAAAAACCACCCTAAACACGCGTTACTCCGGCCAATGTATGCGATACACGCACATCACTTGCGCAGAGCCTTATCTGTTCCATATTTCTCGTCTTGTACTATTTTTCACGCTTTCTGTCTCTCTATTTACTTTGTGTACGCTTCACACATTCCTTCATATTTTTTATCGCTTTTTTTGGGAGTGTTTTTTTCTCTGTTGCTGTTATTGCTACTACTGCTTCTTCTTTTTCATTTCTGTTTTTACACAAAACAAAAATTGTACTGTTGATATCAACATTCTGCGCTAGCACATATGCCTGTTCGGTATTGTGCACTGAGAACTGCCTCTGTACAGTGAAACATTGACAATTGTTGCCAGTCACTTTACAGACGGCGACTGTAAATGTGGCACTCTCTCGGGATCGCATTGTAAACCAAAAACAAAAACGAATTACGGATAATTCTAACGTGTGCACTGCAATGAACGCAATTGCAACATTTTTTTCACATTTAACGACGATCACATTCATTTTACGGTCGAAATGTGCGAATTATGTAGACGGAACCATCCGGACAGAACCGTTCACACACAAACCGATGGATGGATGGCTGACTAGACAATTTCATACTGGTATAGTGTTATCTTGTCAAAGCTAATTTTTTTTTCTCGCTATTTTCTCTGTTTCTTCTTCTAGTTAAAAACGGTCCTAGGTCACCCATTGTTTTGTTTTCCGGGCCATAAAAGATAAATCCATTTTTATTCATCGTAAAGAGAAACAGAAAGAAAAAATTGTGTCGGCCAAATGTATAAAAATGCCTTTGTTCAAAAGTGACATTGAAATCAGTTGCATATATGATTTTTTTTTATGAAGAAATTCTATTTTTCGCCAGAATTTCTGCTTTACAGCACGTTTTTAAATGCTTGTATCTCGCCGTAACGATTTTTTCGTCATTGTTTTTTTACCTTTGACTTTAAATTTTCTTCTTTGTTTTTAGACTTTTCGTAATTTGATCGCGTGTAGTATTTGTGGTGGGCAGCAACTTTTGCACGTCTCATCAATAATTACACAATGAACACACATCATGTTGCCACACAGTGACAATGAATGGTTGGGGCGTCGACAAAGGCTACTGCGACAGCGATATACTGACGGAAATACGATAAACACGGGATACAGACGAAAACGGCGACCCTCTGTTCATCACACTGTTTCGCAAATGCAATGGAATAAAATAATTACCTGTTCGGCGAATTGGATGCGGTCGGCCAACAATTTTTGTCCTGCATCAACCACTTTTTTGTGCCAACAAAATGCTTGCACACTGTTGGTGCATTCGCCACATAATAGTTTTGTGAATTTGTCTGTGCTTTTAATCTGAAACATAGACCAAACAAACAACAACAAAATCAATGAATTTTTCCACAAATAAACATGCATACAATGAATGAACGACAGATAATCATTTTAAAAACGATACAACTGAAAATTCAACACCAACAATTGTAGCAATCCATCCATTCATCAACACAAACTGTTGATTCAAATCAAAATGCTATAACGCAATCATTTCGGTTGTCATGCAACCAACGATGATGACAGAAGAAAAATATAAGCTACATTGACTTGAACAAACACTAAGTTTATGGCTTACCTCAACATTGTAAAAATCCTTTATTGCTTCGAGCAGAATGGGAGCGGTGGTGATATCGTTTTCGCCCGTTTTTTTAAAACACAAACGACACGATGTGCTCAAGTCCGGAAAAATCATCATGCAAAATTTCGGACGATAGCCTCTTTACTAAAACAAAAAAAAAAATCAGAAATATCGACAACAACAAATTTCGTTGGAACACACGATTCATTGACAATCAAACTCAAAATGGAAAATGCAATTGGATTATTCGTGTTATACGTACCCCCAGCAACGGATGTTTGAATCCGTGAATTGAATACCGTGGAAGCAACAATTGAGAAAGAGTTTGATGGTTAATTTATGCTGAATTACACGCTGGATGCATTTAAAAGATGTACGAAAAACCGTTCGATTTTCGTGGTCATTTAAAAAAATGGCTACTAATTGTCAAACACACAAACGTTCTTGTTGTTTGTTGGTCGTTTATTTTCTCTTATTCTTCTTTTTCTGTGTCTGTCTCTGTTCTTATATTCTGATTCAATGCGATCAGTGTCTCGCTGCTTCGTATTACGATGCACTTCTCCACTACACACTCTCTTAGCAACACTTTGGTATATATGCTTTTGTGTGTTTTGTTATGCTTTGAATTTTGACAGAAGTGTACGCATTATTATTCTGTTCGCGCCTTTACCAAAAATCACACCCTATTGACACGCCATCTTTTGGATTTTCAACGCAATCATCTCACTGATCTCACTGCGTAACAAACAGCATTCCATCGAACTTAACTATTTTTGGAATTTATTCACATTACCAACAGATATATTTTTATTGCAGACCAATCTCACTCGCGTTCAGGTTACACCCTCTGTCTCTTCAATAAATAAACGCATGCTGCTACGGCGAGCGATGATAATTTAAATATTGATTGATATTGGATTGATTACGTGAAATAGATGATTTCGTTTCTATTGCGTATCATTTTATTGTGATGATGAAATAAAACCGGCCTTGAACGACGCACCGGAATTTTGAACGCATGAACGTTGAACAAAGTATGCAATGAAAAAAAGGTCTTGATATTATGATTTCAATTTTTTTAATGAGTTTTTTATCGCGTTTTTGACGTTCTTCACTATCTTTACACTATCTTTCAAGATTATTCTTGGTTTTCTTTGAATGAAAAGAGGTAGAGCTACAGAAATCTGAAGAGATCGAAAATAATCCGAACTTGAGATAAATACATTGTTAAAAACATATTTTTTGAACGAAAAAAAATGAGTTCAACGATAAATTTTGACGATAATGTTTTTTTTTTATAATAAACTGTGAAAACGGATTTTCGACAGTAGAATAAATATATGAATGAGTAAAGAAATGGAATTTTATTTTATCGTATTAGGGCTTCATTTGACTTGCAGTATCTAATAAAATGTTGATAAGCTATCCGAAACCAGAATCTTTGAATTTTCGAGAAAAAAAACGTCTTTGAATTGATTTCAACTAGATTATAGACAGACTATCTGAGGAAATTCACCGAAAAACATTTGTGCTGAAGCGTTGAAACGTTTGTTTCAATGCTTAATGCTTGAATTCATTTGTGTTAATGCATTTTCAAAATGACGATTTTGCTCGGAGTCAACGTCCGAATATACTCCTTAGTTGAATTGCGTTCAATTTAAAATCCGGCTTCTGCGATGTGCGTTTGAGTGAATATCTGTCATGTAATCGGAGGCTAAATTTAAACGTCCCACTGATTTCGATTGTTTTGAACAGCTTTTGTTTTTGGACACAGAAAATTTGATTCAGCATCACAGCATCTATTCCGTTTGTTCCGACGAATTAGGAAACATTTACCTTTGTCTTATTTTTTTCATTTTTCTTCATTAATATGAAGAATGTATCATTAATTCAGAAACAATCAGCAACATAAATTGTTATTTTTAGATATGTTTTTATTTGGCTCTGGATTGAGAGCCGAAATCAACCATGAAATATAAACTATGACCAAATGATACGAAAAAAACTCCATCATTCTATTAGCTATTTGATCTCTTGAAAAAGGTGTTGGTTTAATTGTAATAAATTTGCAGAAGGTGGCCAAATTTGAGCCAACAGCCATGCTGTCTCTCTATGAGAAAGTATAAGTATCAAACTTTAAGCGGATGCTGCTTTTTCGGCTATCGCATCAACGTGTTTCAAGTACTCGTAGCTCACTCGAGCAAGTCCATAGCCGGATGCAAGACCAAGAGCGGTGCCCAATACAGCATTATGTGGAATTGAACTGCGAATTATTGCCCAAACCAATACCGAACCCAAACTGAACAACGTACTTCCAAGAACACTGTACGAAAAGAACAAAACACAAACATTGCAATGAGAAATGAAATTTAGTGCCGATGCATTTGCACGATGCGAACGATGCCAGGAACTCGTTTTACCTGTATGTAATTTTTTGTTTAACATCAAGCGATTTTAAATGTGGACGACTGTAGATGTACAATGTGGTACCGAAAAGTGTATGGATCAAGAGGAAATTGGTGACATCACGTTTTGGAATTAATCTGTTTAACGAGAATGGAAAAGTGGTTTTTTTTAAACATGAAGTCCTTGAAGCGATTTGATTGCCACTTACCTAGATGCTAGTTGTGGGCTCAAAATATTGACCGAAAGAGCGCTACAAAAATGAAAACAGGGAAGTTGGAAATTAAAATAGAACAAAAACGATGAAAAAACGTCAAAAATTTCTTTCAAAATCAGAGTTGAAATATAAAAAGGCCATAAAAATCGGCAATTACCCATAGCTCGACAATGCATGCAATGGGGCATAGTAGAAAAGAATGTTGTTTTTTGTAAATGGTTTCAATCCAAGACGTGTACAGAGTGAACAGTTGCTGTTTTCAGCTGCTGATGCCATTTTTATCCTCTTCTTCACGGGGATCCACCCAATTGATTACACACAAAAAATACGTTTGTTTTAGAAATGTCGGAATGAAAAATTCCTTCGACTAGCGAATGCGTTCGATGATGAAAAGTCGGATAAGAATTGCCGTTGTATATTAGGAAATCGACGACACTTTCACTGCTTAGCGGCTACAAACGAAACGAATAATTTGCAATTGAATTTCATCAATACAGAAAAAAAAACACAAGCAACTTACATAATGTGTGAATATTCTGATGGTTTGTGCCGAAAGGCGACGAGACAAAATAATCACAGAGGTGCGTTTGACATTTCGCAAAGACAAACGCAATTCGCCGTGTGTATTGGTGGTGGTTTGGGATCGCCGACAACGACGACTCATATGCATGTGAACCAGTCGCATACGGCACCGAGGTGGGATCAAACGTTGGCAACACCAATAATCAAAAGTTAACCATACCGAAACCATAAATAAACAAAATTCTTCGGTGCTCAATACTAATTTTGAGTATTGAACAATGAACATGTATGTATACAATGAACTTGTCTATCGAATTGAAGTGACATCTTGGTTGCACGATGGAAAAAAAATTGGGGAGAAAATGATATTACATCCCAAAACTTCTTCCTTCAGACATTTGAAATGACGGTAACATTGTCTAGCCTTTTTTCGTAACGATCTGTGATTTTCAACTTGAAAAGACATTTCTCCTTCATAAAGCCTATAGTGGCTGGTATGAGATGATATTCCATAGATAGGAAAGTTTCGAAGGAATAAGACAAGCAAAGCTTGCAAGATTTGGACACATCTGATAATTTTTCCATGATTTAAATGCGACGAAAATTCAAAATACCATCACAAAGGCGCGCTTGACATTCAAAAGGGAAAAACGTATAAGTATTGGTAGTGTTTTGGGTCGTATCATCCATGTGAATCAATCACACGGCAGCGAGGTGAAAACAGACGTTGGCAATACCAATACCAATAACGAGAAGTAAACCCAGAAAACCTTGCTCTAAAATCTCAATGACATCCAAATCAAATTGGATGATTCGCGATGCATCGTCGCCGATTACCTTCGAAAATATTGGAAAATTCTATTTTTCCACCGTTTCACTGGCTTGTTGCATTACAAATGTGCAAATCTTTTATTTTCTAACGATGAAGGCGACATCGCGGCAAACGTCAATACCATCGGACGAAGCAAAGATACGTCAGAAGACAAACCAACAAGAACAAAGAACGTGCCTAAAGAGTAAACGAATGAAAACACTGTGATAAACACACGTTTTGAACGAAAGCGCGCACACACATACCAACCAAATAGTATCGTTGTTGTTTCGGTCCGTATGTTTTTCAATTCACACAAACGTACACTCGTACACACTGGGTTCAAGTATACTCTTTGCTTTCAGCATACAAGTGTGTGTTTCTTTGGTTTGTGTATATGCAAAGGCACTGCGAATATCAGTGATTTATAGTGGTGTAGTTGTTACTGCATTCAATATTTCGAGCGAAGAAAAAAAAATAGGTTTTTCTATTCGGTCGTGTTGAATATTTCTTCTTATTGTGTTGTGCGAAAGAGGAAAAAAACGGATTTTTTGTGTGTCCGATTCCGTTTTGTTTCGTGTTTGGAGTCATAACACACCGAGAAAGAGACTGCCACTGACAAAAAGTCTTTTTTTTTCATTACAAATGATAAGCTAAGTTAACTGAGATTGCAGTAAAAAAAATCGAAGTCACCAAAAAATAAGTCGAAGAGATAATCGTTTGTTTTTCAATTTGCCAAAGATCGTGTGCAATACACACACGTTACCATCTCTACACATAATATACCAACGAAAATCAAAACCAAAGATCTTCAAATTTAAATAAAAAAGTATACCAACCAACGAAATCAAAAGTTACTTCAACCAAATATTACAAAAACGAGATTTGTGCTGTGTGTTAGTTATTATTGCAGGAAGTCAAAAAGCGAGCGAATTGAATTTCATTACATAGAAATTGTTCCGATGAAAGCATAAAATCGATTGATTATTAGTGGACTGCGTGGAATTGCATCTGATTAAAAGAGCATATTTAAGGCGTAAAAGATAGAGGTATGTATCGCAAATTGTACAGTTCTTTATTTGGTCATCATATTTACGTGCACATGTTTGATTTGAAAAAAAAACGGTAACCAAGAATGAATCTCTCTCCCATGTGTGTTTTTATCTCTTGAAAAGCGAAAAATGAAACATACACACTGACTCGTCTCGGCTTCGTAGCGGCAGCTAGCAAAAGTGTGACAATTGTTTTATTTGCTGCTGCTGCTGTTCTTGTTGTTGGTCAGTGCAAATCGATTGTTTGTGTTGCATTGAATTATTAGTTGTGATGCCGTTTGCGGGGATTTCGGTGTTATCCTTGAAAAGAGTTCGGTTTTGAAAGCGAATTTCGACTGAGATAGAGCGAGAGAGAGAGAGAGAGAGAGTGTGAAAGCTGGGTATCCGAATGGAATGCAGAAAAAAATGCAGAAACCCAAAAACGCAGAAAACAATTTTGCAGAAAAAAAATTACAGAAAGAAAAAAAGCAGAAAAACAAAATGCAGAAATCCAAAAAAAGCAGAAAGAAAAAATGCAGAAAAAAATTTGCAGAAAAGAAAAAAATGCAGAAAACCAAAAGCGCAGAAAAATTGAAAAAATACGATTTTTTCGAAAATTTGTTGACCACAATAGATTTCGTCCGACGCGTGTTTTTTTGAATCTGGCACATCAGCCAAATAAGTGCCAGGCGAAAGTTTAGGCCGCCCTGAATTCATAATGGCCATCCCAAGCGCGACTCCACACTTAGCTTCTAAATGTGACACCTTGGTAAGTGTGAGCATTCGTTTTGCGAATAAGCGACAAAGAGGATGGAAACAAGTGCGCGTGTGGTAGTGAGCAGCCTGATGCGATGCTTCTCAATGTAGCGACTAATACACGCGCACTTGTTTTCACTCTCTTTATTGCTTGTTCGCACGACGAATGCTTACACTTGCCAAGGTGTCACATTTAGAAGCTCAAAGCTACAATATGTTTCAGGAAATGGGTTGAAATGGGTAAATTTCGTGGAAAATGAGGAAAAATGGTCAAAATTAGTTACTGTAGTAACATTTACAACTTTTGAAATGTACGGTTCAACACATGAACGTCAGGTTCTAGTTGCTGGCGAGCCGATATTAACCTCATACTTCGTTCTGGTGAGTTGGTGGATTCAGTGGAACTTTTATTTTGTCAGTGGTGTTAGAAAAGTGGTCGAAAACGGCCTCTTACGATGTTTTTGTCTTGGACAACTAACATTTTTTCTCAAAAAAATGGGTCCCTGAACATTTGAACACTGGTTTTCCTACAAATTTGGTCTCAAATCGACATTTCTTCATAAAACTATCGATCAATTGAAAGATTGATACAAAATCACATTTTTGGCATAGAAAGCCCTCCCATTTATTTTTTGAGAAAAAATTATAGTTGTCCAAGACAAAAACATCGTAGAGGCCGTTTCCGACCACCTTTCTAACACCACTGACAAAAAAAATGAATTGAATTTTTTTTTCCTCTGAATCCACCAACTCACCAAAACGAAGTAGGAGGTTAATTTCGGCTCGCCAGCAACTAGAATCTGACATTCATGTGTTGAACCGTACATTTCAAGAGATGTAAATGTTACTACAGTAACTAATTTTGACCATTTTTCCTCATTTTCCACGAAATTTTTATTTGGCTGATGTGCCAGATTAAAAAAACAGGCGACGGACGAAATCTATTGTGGTCAACAAATTTTCGAAAAAATCGTATTTTTTCAATTTTTATGCGTTTTTGGTTTTCTGCATTTTTTTCTTTTCTGCAAATTTTTTTTCTGCATTTTTTCTTCCTGCGTTTTTGGATTTCTGCATTTTGTTTTTCTGCATTTTTTCTTTCTGCGTTTTTGGGTTTCTGCAATTTTTTTCTTGCTTTTTTCATTCTGCAATTTTTTTTTCTGCAAATTTGTTTTCTGCGTTTTTGGGTTTCTGCTTTTTTTTCTGCATTCGATACCGAATTCGAAAGCTGAAAGGTTAATGTTAAGTAGCAGCTGTGTGGTTCTTTGTTTCTTTCGTTCGTTTGCTCTGTTTCAAATGCCCACACATGTGTTCTCGGTTCTCATACGAGGCAATTGTGTGTATGGACTTTCGCTATTTCAAGCAACGACTTTTTTCTATTTCTTTCATTTTTTATTCATTTTCTATTTCCACACTCTCCGTCTCTGGGCGGATTTTGATAGAGAGATAGAGTGAGTGATTGAGTGAGTGTGTCTCCGCACCAATTGTCAGGCCGAAACATATTTTTATACTCCTGTTTATTATTAAACACCCGCAAGGGTACGGTCATGCACAAATATAAAAAATACTTGAGCACATTTGCGGCCGCCAGAGCCGAAAGACAGTTGCAATTGGTGGCGTGTGTTGGTTTCGCAGCTGCTGCTGCTGCTGCTGCTGATTCTTTATTGACATAGAACCAGAGGTTGGCTGCAGATAAATTTATTTATATAAATTTCAAATATTAAATAAATTTATCCGATATTTTTCATGCGTTGTGTTGTTCTCTTGCATTTGCCAGCTATTTATCGCTGGAATGAGATTTTCGTTTTGTTCATTTACCGTTATTTCTCAACAATTCTGCCACTGTGTCACTACATAGTATATATAGTCCATAAGAAATGTGCAGAGACGAAAATGTTCGCCATTTAGTTTTACATTGCCAATACATTAGTTATAGAGATTTTTGTTTTTACATTGCCAATACATTAGTTATAGAGAATTTGCCTATCTTTTTGCATTGCCACTGTACTTAGTATATGTCCCTAAGAAATGTGTAGAGACAATGCAAATGACACAGTGGCAGACTTGTTTACAAATATCGGTAAATGAACAAACCAAAAATCTCATTCCTGCGATGAATGGCTGGCTGCCAATACAACAGCCGATGTCTCGTTTATGTACTGCAAATGCGTCAGAACAACACAACGCATGAAAAATATCGGATAAATTTATTTGATATTTGAAATTTATATAAATAAATTTATCTGCAACCATCTCTGCATAGAACTATTTGTAATGCGATAAGCGAAACGACGATTTATTACAATGATATTGCATCGATTTTCTAGTGCCGCCACCGCTGCTCAATGTTGTTGTCATTCGCATGACCGACGAAACAATACAGGAAAAAAAGAACCAACAACAACAAAAAACAAACGCAAAACAAGCGGAAAATTTTACATGGAGTTTGTATACAACCCTATACCTGCACCGTCATAAATTTCGTACTTGATGCACACACACATGATGACACCGTAAATCAAACACAATTCGTCATTCGTTTCTATCATATTATTTATTAATAAACATTCGATATTTCCGTACAAATTATTTACCGTTTGGTCGCCGAAAACACAAGCAGCAACAGCAACAACAACCACAAATCCAATAATTACAGTGTTTGTTTTATTATTTAGCACATTACGTTTTTCAGCACCAGCGTTAGGTACAATGACCTGTATCCAATTTCTCGCATCGTGTATTTCTCAGCAAACCACAAAAATCGTCCGGATGTCGAAAACAAAACGCGTTGTTTTTCTTGCGTCTCATTCATATTCATTTTTGTGCCAATCGACAATTAAGATTTTCGACTCGATTGAAACGAATTTTCGGTGGACAATTTGGTTGAGCGGGTTTTTTGTTGTTGCTGTTGTTGTTTGGGGAGAAACGGCGGCAAGTGTGTGTGTTATAAGCGAAACCCAACGCTCATGAATACCTCGACACAAATAGAACAAACGTACATTGCCCCATTGTTCTGGCCCTGAAAACGTTGTGTCTAATGTAAATTTCACGTTTCTATTTATTCATGCTGCTTAAATATTTCGTGCTATTTGCCAGTTGTGCGGAATAAGGGGTGCTGTTTTTGTCCATTGTTCCACCAAACTGACCAATGAATTGCTTCCCTCGACGGATATTATACGCCAAAATTCCAATTCTAACGACCTGAGGTCGTATACCTCAACCCAAAAACATATATATAACATGTAATGAATAAAAAAATGCACAAGCACATACTCTAAAAACACATACACCCATTGTGCCTTACCGTTCAGTGCATGCCGTCACATTTGTTCTCATTTTTAATCACTTTTCGAATGACTTTGTTTTCGACGAACTATTTTTGGAAGTTTGGCGAAGTGTTTCGAGAAATATACTCTAAATCTTTCGTCACATTGGATTCTATCGATGAAACTTTCAATTTCGAATCGATTGCCCGTTGATGTTGATGAAAGGAAAAACATTGTTTACGCAACGAAATCAATATATCAAACGGAATTGCATTTGTGATTCACACTTTTTTCGCAACACAAATCCATTTTGAAGACGTTTTACAGTACTCGACACTACATGAGGCAGTCTAGAATATTTCCATATGAAAGGTACACCACTTCAAGTGGCCCAGTTGCAATTTCAGGTTCAAAAACTGCATGTATTCGATCCAATCAAAATATTGTTGGCCATTTTCGAATTCTAAACCAATTACAATACTTGCACATATGTCATGCTGTATACGGAGAAGTAAAATCAACAATCTTTTTGAAGTCGGCATTAGAATATTGAATGAACGTGTTCTATTTGTATGTTGAATAAAGTTCTCTGTTTGATACAAACAAAAATTCGATTACTCAATAAAAAGGGCGGGAAATGATTTCACGTCAGACGTAACTTTTTCTGTTGGTTCTCTTTCTAAACGTTATTCCTTTCGCCATAAGTTAAACTGAGAAGAAATTAATCAAAGAAAAAATGAAATCGAGTAGCAAAAAGTTGTTTTGGCATGGCCGGTTCATATAAACAAGCGAAATAAAAATAAATAGGTTCGAACTGTTTTCTCGCATTTTCACCGAATGCCAAAAGTGGAAATTTCCCAACCAAGTTGAAATAAATTACGGTATATTTCGCCTTTTTTATATTGTTAAAGTCACACATTTCATGAAAATACCATTATCCGTCTTTGTCGCGTAATAGTGAAATCATATGGCAGCGCATGGAAATTACACGAATTATTA